TCATCAAGGTCGAACGCACTCTTGATTTGATGGACTTATTTTGACCCTCAAATTCTTGAGTCGGCCTTATACTCTGGAGGAAACCAGAAAACCCTTCAGCCCAGTTCAAGAATAAGCCTGTGGAAAGTTACTTCTTCAAAAGCAAAAGTATCTCATATCATCTCTTCTCATTTTTCTTCTCTTTATCCTTCTTGTTGCCTGCAAGATAGGGAGAATGAGAACAATGAGCCGGAACTCGAAATCAAACTTCTGATCTGGGTCTGATTGCTTGGAACTCTGATTGCTTACCTTGTCTGTCACCTCTTTCAGCAAATCTCCTAGCTTGGCGACTTGGGGGACTCTTACTACATGGTTTGTATTGCACTTGACCAAGCCTGAAACTACAAGTAAGCTTCAAGTGAAATTGATACATTACCTTGTGCATCTCCACCAGTTAAAGATACCACCCCTGGATGGAGGAAAAGTACTTCCAAAGAAGATGCCACATCTATCTATGAGACAGATAAGGCAAGTGAAAACGATACCACACTTCGGTACTTAGAAGTTTTGTGATTACTCAGCGGCTTAGATCTTGTAAGTCCCCAATCGAGGAGATTCTCTCACTCGGGAACTTAGGGGAGCATTATTTGTACCATACTTAACCAATCCTGAAACTTCAGAGCTCCGGTCAACGTTATACCGTCAAGGACCCAGAAGAGTTTCACTCAAACCAAGAGGCCAATCACAGCGCGACACATGTCGACATCAGAAGCCAATCATAGTGTGACATGTGTCAACATCAGAAGCCAATCACAACACGACACATGTCAATGTCAGAACAAAGCTAGAAACTCTCTTCTATAAAAGGTGATCATTCTCCCACAATATTTCCTAATATCATTTGTATTAAATCATTCACTAGTACTCACAAAAGGAGAGCTTGAACCTATGTACTTGTGTAAACCCTTCACAATTAATGAGAACTCCTCTACTCAGTGGATGTAGCCAATCTGGGTGAACCACGTACATCTTGTGTTTGCTTCCTTGTCTTTATCCATTTATATACTTATCCACACTAGTGACCGAAGCAATCTAACGAAGGTCACAAACTTAACACTTTCTGTTGGACCAAAGTCCTCACTGATTTTGTGCATCAACAATATGCATATGCGTGCATACAATTGATAGAAAGCAGATAACTTTCGGAATAATTTAGGCAAGCATATAGGCAACTTAGTCCCATTTCTTCACTGATGTTAGGAATATTAATTCCAATATCTTTGTGGTTGTAGTATTGGATTAGTCTTTGATAGCAGTTGATTCGTTTCATAGTTATTCCAAGACAAGCAGTACAAGGCTACAAGCAAAGGAAATTCGACCAACAGGCGTAGCTAGCTATTCCAAGAAAGTAAATTAAACACATGAGAAAACAACCAACAACGTAGTATCTATCCGCCACAAATCACTACAAGAAAACATGGAATAGGTGACCAAATTTTATGAGGCGCCCAAAAATTCATCACATATTTTTTCTATATGTGACGAATTGTTTGGAGCGTCACGCATGACTAGTTTTTTAGGTATGAAATTTGAGAACACTTAGGTGACGATAAAGACATCACATATTCTAGAATGGAGTGACGAAAATCATAAGCGTCACTTAAAATTATTTTATATCTTTTAAGATGAAAAAGTGGTGACAAATTTTTTGAAGTCCTTACTAAAATCTATGGCGAGGAACAATGGCGCCCTAACGAAGTATGATATGTGAGGAATTGCAAAAGGGTCACATATGTGTATTCTCGGTGACAAAAGTGATTCATCACTTTTCCAACAATAAATAAATTAAAAAAAAAAGAAAAAAGAAACATAGTAAAGTATTAAAAAAATTTGAGAAAGCCCATCTATCTTTCACTTTCACTTTCTCTGTCTTTCAGATTTCTCCCATTTCTCATCACTGTGACCCAAGCTAACCGACGCGTCTCTTAATCTTCTTTTCTCTCTATCGTGACATTACCAGGATCTTCTAAGCCAAATGCTCAAACCATCTCTCATCTATTCATTGTCTATCACACTCCACAACCAAAAACCCTAGAGACCAATTCAACCAACAAGCCAAATCCACACCCTGTTACGTCTCAACCTTCTTCCAGTTTCTTACGCCACCACCGAAAACCCAAGAACCATAGAAACCCTTTCCACCAACTACATAAATCTATGCCAAATTTCTCAATGCCTACGAGACTACTATGTGGCCAAATGGTTAACGAATTTAATTTTTATCATTGTTTTTAACTTAGGGTTTTGGATCTGCAGGTAATTGCCTCCAAATTGAGCACGCTAACAGCCCTCGACCTCTTCATCCATCTTTCAAGGACTCTAATTGGGTAAAATTTGGATTTTAATTTTTAGATTTATATATATATATATATATATATCCCTGGCTTTTTCTATTTGTTTTTGGAACTTGCAGGTTTACATTCACAAATTTACAAACAAAAAAACTAAAGGAAGGAACATTAATCAATAACTTTAGCAAAGAACTTGTAAGAATTTCTTCTTTTATTCTGGATAATCGTTGGGGATTATTCAAATGATTTATTTGCACATATGGAGGCTTTAATAAGTTGTTTTATTTGGTCCTTCTATTTCAATTTTTTGTTTGTTATGAACTTACAAGTTGGTATTTTTTTCTGGGCTTATTGGTTTTACATGGTGATTGAAGGTAACAAATTTTGAGTTGATGATACCATTTATTGAAAAGGAAAGTTGTTTGATTTGGCTTTGAATTGCTCTGAAATTTGAACCATAATTCTTTTAAGTGTTCTGCATTTGAAAAAGATTGAAAATGGTCTCTTGGGCAAGCAAAATGATTTCCCCCATCATAGATGATTTTCTTTCTTCTGATTATTAGTGGCAATGTCTTTTCTGTTTATTGGTGTTATTATTTGTAGTCCTAGAAAACCATGAAAAACTATATAAAGAAGGATTTAAGAAACACATATATTTCTCCTATATATATTTTCAGCTGCTTAGTTCTTATTAGACGATATGGGGTGACTGATGTTGCATATGACTGATGCTGCATACTGATGCATCATATGGATATTAGACGATATGGAGTGATTGATGCTACATACTGATGCTGCATATGGATATTAGACGATATGGGGTGACTGATGTTGCCAGATTTTATGTTTCCTCTTTCCATGGGATTCTCTAATAAGTCTAATCTCGTAATTTAAGGAAGATTGATTGCTAGATGACTTGTTGTGATTGTGTTGTTTACAGGTTGGTCATGGTTTTTGACAAGGGTAGTTCTCTTGCTTGTGTTTTTTAACCAAGATGTTGTCGGTATAGGTTTTATACTCTGCAAGTTTTGGGTTGTTCTGCTTTCAGTATTTTAATCTTAATCTCACTTTATCAACATACTTGGTAATTTAAGTGATAGCCACAACTTCCAGAGCTCACCTTTTGAAGGAAATTGAATTGGGAAAACTAATATGTTATTCACCTTTTTTTTTCTATACTAAGTTAGATTTTGGTCTTATTGTTTTTTAGGAATGGTGTTGGAGTTGGGTTTTTATTAAATTTTGGCAGATCTTCATATTCTTGCAATCGCAGATTGGTTTAGAAGTTTAATTATAATTTAAGTAGCTTTTTGTGAATTTTATCTTTTGCTAGTAGATTATCTAGTCCTGACATTTGGAGTCTTGATAACTCACTAACTAGGTTATGATAAATTAGTGAAATCAGATATGCAAAAGAAAAATGAAGATATGATAGCACAACTAAAGGATTGCAAGCCAAGGGCGGACCAACAACATCTCCAGAGGTAGTGACATCAATTTAGCCTTCATTAGTAGTGATATCAATTTGATCGTTATAAAAGCTGAATGTTTTAAAATTACAGTGAATAAGTAGTCTATGGTATGAAACTAGATATGTTTTTCTTGTTAATTAATGGCCTTTTAATGTAGGATGTTTTCAAGCAAAATTCATATAATTGTAAGAAACAAAAGTATTACCACAAGGGAGGGGCAAAACCATTTCATCCAACATGCAAGGAAGGCTCGTAAGGTAATGAAATTAAAGTACATATAAAACTCATTGTGTAATTTAGATAGGCTCGTCTGTTATGTTTTGTTCTTCTATTCCTTCAATTCTTATTTTCATCTCTTTTGTTATTCAAATTCTCAATGCACCTGCTATTCTCTAGACACCAATGTTTATTTTCTTCTCTTTTATTATGTAAGGATAAGATGAAGAAAAATAAGGATGGAGTTAAAGGAGAAAGTATTCAAGAAGCACTTGAGGTAGTGATGGTGATCTTTCAAATGACAATGATACATGTGCTGAACTAAAGACCATGACATGGCGGATAACTTATATTATGTATTTTGTTGTTGGTTTCAAATATGCACACGGTATACCTGTTTTGTTACCGACTTAATGCCTTAGAATCTTGTTAGCATCTCAATATGTTTAGAGGTGTTAGGATGCTTATGTTAGCTTTTAAGATACACAATTGGTGTATGTATTGGATGTAATCTAACTTATTGATCAATAAAATGTGATTAACTAAAGTATTGCCTCATATTTGTTATGAATTCTAATTCTAGATGACGAAGCAGGGAATGTGTGGTAATTGGTTCGTCACGAATTGTTTTTAACAGGTTTATGATTTTGACACATGTGACACAAATTGCGCCACATGTCAAAGGAATATGTGACACTTTCAGTCTCACTTATTCTTAGCCATAGCATTCTAGGATCAAATTGGGTGACAATAAATTCCTCACTTATACATTTGTTATGTGACGAACTTATAGGTCACTAACTTTTATGTTTTGTGACGCTTATTTCGTCACAGTTAAAATTATTAAGTGACGAATTTGGCATAAAAAATACTAAAAATATGTGGCGAATGTAAAATTCGTCACATGAACTATAGGTGACGCTGTATAGGTGACGAACATAGTGACGCTGGATTTTCATCACATATAATCAAATGTGACGAATTTTCATGTTTACGTGACGAATGTATGTCGACACCTAAGCCATGTTTTCTTGTAGTGAATGAACAGAAAAGGCAATCCAACAGCTGCAGCCATCGCATGCTCCAATCCTAAGCTTCATTACGATTATATCTCAGAAGAGGAATCGGAAGAGGTATCATCCAATAAGGATGGTTCACCTCTCTCCAGTCGTGCCCTGGACATTTCAGCCGTTTGTCTCTGTCTTGCCCTGATTTGCTCGACTTCCTCGTGGCTTGGGTAGTCATCTTTCAGAGCCTCAGAACGCCTATAGAAACAAGCATAAGAGCGGCCATGACGGCAGACGTTACCCACAAAACCACAAGTCCTACACATTAGTATATAGCCCCTTCCAACTTCAGTTACGCCCAACGGGACACTTTTCAGGTAGGGACACAGATATTGGTGGTGGCCGTCCATAAGGCAAATTGCACAATGCTTATTCTGAGAATGGCATTTCTTAGACTCACGGTAACGTTTCTTCTTTGAAGTAGGAGTACCATCATCAAGTTGGAGTTTACTCATAGAGCTTTCGACAGCTTTTGTTTCTTTCTTCTCATCTGTTTGTTGCACATAAATTAATTAATACTAGATATATTTACTCAGCTAATTAACAGGTGAAATTAAGGGAGCAGGGCACCCTTGTATTTTGGGTTTAACAGCAATTAAGCTGCAACATTTTTGGTTAATATGCAGAATTTACAAACCCTAAAACAGAAACCAAACGCATATATATACACCAAGACAAATCCGGATATCACCTCGGAGCTCCGCCGGTTGGGCTGGATTCTTCCCCCTCCCGGAGTCTGATCGCGCGAGCCAATTGGCCCTGCCTCCGCGCTTGGCTTCGTCTCTGGGTACCCGGATCATGGCTTCGTCTGTGCGAGAGAGACTCAGAGAGATTGCATGAGTTTGGAGATTTACCTTTTAGGGTTACGCTTTTGACAAAACAATGAAATTACCCTTATATACACCAACTTATTCCACGTCATTTGACCGTCTTGCTCTTCATAAAAATCAAGGATAATGTTAGGGACATGGAAATTTTAAATCAAAATCATATTTGAAAAATTAAATGATGTGTTACCAAAAAAATAAACACGTTAATCAACGCTTAAGTAATAACATAATCATTAACAACCACATCATTTTGTTTAAAAAAATTAATCTCCCTATCATTATCTAAAAATAAAATATCAATCGTTTCTCCATCTACTTAAATGTGGGTTTAAAAAAAGGAAATTTAATATATAAGTCCAATTTTTTAGCCAATAGTAGGAATAGTCAAATTTATTAAAATAAGTCCAATTCTTTGAATTTAATTATTTTATTATCAATAATTATCTATTCAATAATAAGATTTATTATAAAAATCAAATTTCTTCCTAATTATCTCTTTGATTATTTCTCTTTATTTAATTTTTCTTGTTATTTCTTGCTCTTCCTCCCGCTTTAAACCTCATTTATAGATTTTATTTTTAATTTTTATAATCAACCTATATCACAGGTTAATTATTTTTATGTATTTATATGACAGATTCTTTTTTATAATCAGCGTGTCACAAATTAATGTGTTTTGCTTGTAGGTATATTATTTTTTTTCCTACTTTTTAGTTAGGTTTCATAACTCGCTTACATGTATAATATACATTCATATATTTGCTGTTTGAGTTAAATAAGAATGTTTTGTAGATACTTTATGTTAGTATATTAGTTTTTTTTGTTATAAGATATTAGTTAGATTTTTTGGAGTTGAAAAATGCTTGATATTAGAAGATTTTAATTGATTTTTAATATTTTAAAAAAAATATAAAATGAGTATAAAAGAAATAAAAACATATAATTAGATAACTAGACTCACTCCTTAAAATCATCTATATTTTTAGAGCTAGATCTAAAAGCCCCTTAAAAAAAATGAAAACCCAAAAAATTCGAATGGGACATCAAACTTAACTCGAACAAATGATAGTATGGTATTTTATTAATCAACACAAACAAATACAAGGGTGTCATTAGGTACATAACTCCAGTGACCAATAAATTGATCTAGAGTGAATTTGCGCAAATAGACAAATAAGAGTAAACCCCTAGTAAACTACCACAAGTGCCACTAGTACAAAACTATCACAATAAACGATAGTCGCAACAAAGCAATATAGGTAGCCACAATGGTCATCGTTGAATAACAAGGCCACATAAAGTCATTGCTGTAGAGCGAGACCACATCAAGTCCATCATTGACAGACGAGACTACAAAACACATCGGACAAAGGTGAAGACTAATAAAGCCAAAAAAATAGCGCCACCACAGTGCACATAAGGTGAGTGAAAAAAACTACACCACTCCGAGAAATGATCCGTTGGTCCGCTCATCATAAAAGGGGGACAAGGCACTCGGGCCAAGACCGCCTACAAATTCGCCAGAGTGAGGTACAAGCATGCACACATCAAGCACCAAAAGGTAGCTGCAATAGGCAGTGGGGCAACCAGGTCCGAGTTGCACAAGCCTAGCCACCAGATTAAGCCGAGTCGCCATATCTGAGTGCACACGTCAATGCAGCCATAGAAACCAGGCGAGGAAGGTGACACCAACCTGTAAAAGAGTTGACGAAGGTGGATCCAACCTACCTACAACCCGAATCCACGCCACACCAAGAAAAGCCAGCGCCGAATCAAAAAAATCTTGAAAGGGCATGGCCCGGATCAGGGTACAAGGCATAATCTGAGGAATGCTGCATACAAAATGGTGGGAGAGAAGCACGAGAATGGAGAAGAGGTAGGTGAAAGACGACGTGATTTCGGGGGGAAAAAAGGTTATGTATGGCGAGGGGGGAGAAGGCTGGGATGGGGAAGATGGGCGAAGAGGAAGAGAGAAAAGGCTAGGAGGGAAGCTGCCATCGACCTCCAGCCATAGCCAGAGGTTGGCTGCGATAAAGGTAGCTGGCTAAGGTTTTGTTGAAGGAGAGAGAGAGAGAGAGAGAGAAAGGTCTTCATTCTCCTCTTCATTCCCATCCTTCTCCTCTCTCTCTCCTCTCTCTCTGTCTGGGGAACTCACTTGCCAATTTCTTTGAAAAATCACAGCTTTACGGTGCTTCACTGTCTCATTGACCATGGTGGAGACTTTGCCACTAGAACGGTTCTATTCGTCGAGGTAAGTTCTCTCGTTATCCTTAACTGTTCAACGTTAAGATTTGTTCTCCTTTGCAAGTTCATTGGATTTGGCCAAGTGAGTTTTGTTTAATTCTGTGAGTTCGTCATTAATTTGTCAGAAATATGAGGCAGAAGATTGATTTGGGGAAGAATTTCACTCACTCACTCATGCCTCACCTAGTCACCCTCGCATGCGACCCTTTTCTAGTTGCTGCAGATTGATGCTGATTTTTAATCTCAGCTTGAATCTTTGTGTTTTGAGTTGAATTTTATGATTATTATTGAAATTATGAATTTAGATGCCATTTTGTATGTGTACATTTCACTTTCGATGAGCTATATGAATTCAGATGACATTCTGTTTAGTTGCAATGATGAATGTAAAGGTTTAGTTCTTGGTTTTCGGGATGAACTGGGCCTTCATGTTCGATACGATTCACTGTTGTTTTGGGTTTAATTCTTGATTTATTGAAAAACAATATTCAAGTAAAATGAAAAACCAAATGAAAAAAACCAAACCGAATCAAGTTGAACTGAAAAAATTAAACCAAAATTAAATTGATTTGAACTTAAAATTAAAAAAATATCAAATTGGACCGAACCAAACAACAATTTTGGTTCAGTTTAAGGGTGTTTCTAAATATATTGAACATGATGTTCACATTTTCACATATACATAATCTATGAAGCTTTGATTTTGCAATCAGATCGATTTTAGTCCAATAAAACTGTAAATTCGCTTCAGTTTAAGCGTGTTTCTAAAATATATAGAACAAGATGTTCGAATTTTCACTAATACATAATCTATGGAGCTTTGAATTTGCAATCAAATCGGTTTTAGTCAAATAAAACTTTAAATTCGCTTCGCTAGAAAGGATTCTTTTGAGATTTAGCGCTCATAGATGATGTCATGATAAAAATATAAACGTGTGCCCTTCAATTTAAACAAATCTAATAAAGAAATTGACGTCTACTTAAGAGGGATGAGTAAAACCCCATTCAACTATTTTTGCCTTTTGAGTGCAGCATCAATGAATTGTGTAGTAGTAGAATTGATTTAGATGCTCGAGGTGAAGACAATGACCATGAAAGAGAAAGGAAAGGGAGGAGGAGACTTGAAACCAGACGAGTCGTAAAACCCAGAGGAGTTTCACGTTGCTAGGTATACGGTTTTTCTAATCATTGTTTTTTTTTTATTTTTTTTTTATAATTATTGGTATTTTAAATTGTTTTTAATTGAATAAAAATTATGATTAATTTTTTTTTTTTTAGAAAAAGTTATGATATTCATTGATAATGAAAGTAATACATTAACATGTGCTTTGATAAAAACCATGCTGAGATTTCAATCCAGCGAAAAGAAAAACAACATCTCCCATCTAACAATTACTCAGTAGTACTATCCTCATCAAGAAAATAAAAAATTACATTAGGAGGTTCATTAAACCAAATTACAGAATTGTCAAAGTTCAAACTCAACCTTGCAAGTCTATGGGCTATTACTTTAGTCTAAAGTATGGAATCTAATTGCATTGTTCTAATGAACAGTGTTTTGGGGTGAATTTCAACTTATTTACCATTTTGCCATTGGCTTTCTATGCCCCTGCTGTTGGCTCTCTCTACCCCAGTGCCGCTCACCCCACTCTCCTCCATCATCTCTCATTTATTTCGTCTTCTCTAAAAAAAAAAAAAACAAAAAAACAAAAAAAACCCTAGCCGCTCAATTTCCCTCAACCATAGCCGTCCCTCATCCAATTTCTCTCAACCATGGCCTCCATTTTTAGGCCTTGATAGAGCCTAAATCTCAGTGCCCTATGTTAGGTTGACATAATACGTATATTTTGCATCTCTTTTACCTATTAATTTACTCGTGTTTTGATATAAGATAGTTGGATTTGATGTGTTTTGTGTGAATTTTGTAGAAATTATATTTTGGAGAAAAATGGATTTTTGAGAAGAATTACAAGGAAAGCACGAAAGAAGAACGAAGTGAGGTGTTGCTGTGTGAGATTTGTGCAAGTACAAAATTGCCTAACTTGTGTAAATTGGAAAGCGCCCAGAGTTCTTTAATTTCCCAATCCAAATTGGTATTGCTCTCCTTTTCCAAATGGGATTAGGGTGAATTCCTGACGGCTGGAGCTTCGGGACAAAAAGGGAAGAGAAGGGGAGAATATAAAAGGCACAACATAAATTGAAAGGGGCCTATTCATCGTCTCGCGCACACATACAGGCTACCATTTTTACAACTCCACAGAGGCTCCAAGACTTCCCAGCGCATACACACACTCAAATACAAAGTTGGAGCTCAAGATTTATTCCATGTCATCGAATTCATCCATGTTTGTCAGCAGTTTAATCATGAACTGAGTCATTTTGCTAGGACTAGGGTGTACTCCTATCATGAACATATAATTATCGTTATTTTTATATTAATCTTAGTTATTTTCATGTTGAGTAATTGTTATTGTGCTTCGTTTTTATCAAATAACTGACCATTATTTGTGTGAATAACTAAATTGTGACTGACAGGTTGAGTTTAGTAGATTGCTTCTCATAACAATTACCATGAATTACATAATCAAGTAGACATACTGGTTATAATTTGTGTAGTATCGTACAATTACCCATTGAGCGTAAAGGGTTTCGGTTATCTATATTTGTGGCTAGACATAACATGGGTCGATAGTTAGAAACATGGTTAGTACATTCTGAAAGGAAATATTGACGAATCAAGGGATAATTGCTAGCAACATGGGAATAATTTG